CATTTAATGTCAAACCATAATAACAGAGGAAGAGGGGAAATCAATGACATTATGTGATTTTGATATGCAATCATACAACCCATTCCTCTTACTTGAATCTCTCTGCCATGTTTTCTCTTAAACACTCGCACCTGCCCTATTTTCTGGGATGGGGTATTTCATATGGTCTATGCACAAACCCCCTTCTACACAGGGAACTCTTACGTATATCCATCCAGACAGCGTCAGCAAACCTGCCATCACCTCCTTCTACGGGGTTCAATGCACTGAAGCACCGACCCCCCTCACAAGTTTTGCAATGTACCAGTAAACTACATTTCCCTGGAACAAGGTGAGATTACATTTTCATTTTAAGTGTAAAGACCGAGGACTGAGGTTATGCCACCAGTGACATAAATTACTGGATATTAATGAAAGTGTGACTATTCAGATTCAAATGGAAATCAGCAAGCCGGGAATTTTAATAACTTTTATTTTTTCACACATCTTAGGGAAGTGTTTCTAGTCAAATCATGAGCAGCTGGCACCGGCAATGCAAAGCTTCAGCCAGTTCCAAACTCTTTGCCTGGCTGACGAACTTTGAAAATATCAGCTCCCCTCTGGCCAAGAGCCAGAAACTCGGCTTCCCCAGCCAAAAATGCTGTGTTGCAGGGCCAGAAAACGGCAACGCACATGCAGACGAGGCCCTGGGCTCTTTTCCTGCAGCCCCCTTTCCATCAGATGCACTTTTTTGAACGCAGGGGAGAAGATGCAAGGGCAGGAGTGGAAGGGATCCCTCCGCAACCCAGGTTGCGTCCTAGGGACTGGACTAGAGAGCATCATGTCAGGGACTCCTCTCCTCCTCATCCACGGCAGAAAGGGAGTGGGGCGCAGAAAACCTCCAAGATCCACTCCTTGCAGCTACCCACAGCCGCTCTTGCCCAAGTTAAGCTAGGGTATCGTTTTCAGTCTTTTATTGGCAACCGTTAAGTGCCAGAAACACTCACTAAGACGTAAGCTGAGTGTCTGGTGAAGTCAGAGAGTGCCATGAGCTGGAGTTTAACCCAGAACACGCCCTGTCTATGCTTACAGCTGCTTCCCTTTTGGTGAAAGCTATAAATTCTTCCATTCACCAAAGCCTGCGTTGTCCAGGAGGTGGTTGCTCTATCTTTCTGGTCTTAGCACTGGTCTGTAGTAAGGATATTCCCATCTGGTTTAATGCATCAGTGCATGGGAACAGGAGACACTATCTTGTCCTGTCAAATGGCCATAGCCAGAATAGATACTCAAGCTGCAGCCTGAAACAGTCCCTCCTGGATGAGCAACAAAACAGAGTGTCACACACAGAGGATGAAGAACTGCCAGGTGGCAGAGAGTCTCCCCACTGGAAGAAAAGCACCCCCAGTTTTGTGCTGAAGGAAGATGAGAAGGAAGAGAGAGAGCTTTTTTCCCATTAAAAGCTTTTTTCCCATTAAAAGTCAAAAAAACCAAAGGCTAAGGCCAAGCACAGTGGAGAAGGAAAAGATGGTCCTGTCCCCAGCAGACACAACAGGGATAAGCAGACCACACTCTACGTTATTTCTGAATTCAGTTTCAAGGCAACGACTGAGCCATGATGTGAGTCTCCCCGTTGTTTCGTTTATCTTGTATGGTTTTGGCACACGTGGAAACAAAGCTGGAAATCCCAGCACGAAACGTGTTCCTGTGCTGACGGTAACAATCATCCTGCAAACGTTCATTAGGACAGGTCAGTGTAAGCCCTTCCCCATACAGTTGTACAAACACAGCACCCTGCTTCAGATGTCGAGGTATAAGGCCAGCAGAGACTCTTACGTGCCTGAGGCTCTCCAGTATTACAACCCTGAGCAGTACAAAATGAAGAGATGTACTTAAAAAAGAATGTTAATTATAAAACCAATTCATTTGTGGTTCTTGTCCTTCATGTGTTTTCAGGATCTTTCAGCTACGCTTGCCCATATCACCTCCTGGTTCCTAAAGCCTGCATTTTCAGAAAAAACGAATGTCAAAAGATTTTCCAAGCACAGCTCTGAGAGTTGGCAGTATTTCATGTTTCTCATCTTTCTGCTATGTACGAACACCTAGGGGAGCATTTGCAAAAACCTGAGATCATCAACAGCCCTTTGGGGCTTTGCTAGCTATCAGTCTGTGGTTACTTTCTTCCTTCAAACTTGGCTTTACAGACCACTCGGTGACCTGTGGCAAGCTAGCAGGTCATGTGGTGTTGACTCATCTTAGAATCATAGAATCACAGACTGGTTTGGGTTGGAAGGGACCTTAAAGCCCATCCAGTTCCAACCCCCCTGCCATGGGCAGGGACACCTTCCACTAGACCAGGTTGCTCCAAGCCTCATCCAGCCTGGCCTGGAACACTTCCAGGGATGGGGCATCCACAGCTTCTCTGGGCAACCTGTCCCAGTGCCTCCCCACCCTCTCTGTGAAGAATTTCTTCCTGACATCTAATCTAAACCTCCCTGTTTTCAATTTATACCCATTACCCCGTGTCCTATCACTACAGGCTCTTGTAAAAAGTCCTCTCCCAGTACCCTTGTAGGCCCCCTTCAGATACTGGAAAGCTGCAATGAGGTCTCCTCGGAGCCTCCTCTTCTCCAGGCTGAACAAGCCCAATTCTTGCAAATCTTTTTTGTTTCCAGATTTCTCTCTCAAAGACTTGGGCGAAACAGCCCAGACCCTTACAGAAGAAGCTGGGACTAAGACGGAGGCACGAGCTTGCTTATTTGTCTGCATTTGGAATTTCCTGAAGAGAAGTAGGGAAGAAGAAGAAGTGCCATCCTAATACAGAGCCACTAAGGAGATGAGATGCAGCAGATCCTCTGAAGCAACTGCAGTATGTACCAGAGAGGGGAGAGAAGGAGCCTGCAGGAAAGTGAGGCAAATGAGGAGTCGGAAGAAGGGGACTGCACATGGGGCACAGAAACAGAGCTGACATAACAGCATTTCAAAGGCATAGCAAAAAGAGATGTGATATGGTAGTAGAAAAAAGCATCTGAACATTAAGGACTGTCAAACCTTCCTCCCCTCTCCCCCCAACTAAACCAAAACCAAACCCTCCTAAGACTACTTCTCCATATAAGCAATTGCAGTTGCTGCCACACAGATGTTGTCTGACAACAAATGGGATACTGACTGGCAGGGGAGGCGGTACATGAATGATGGTTACAGAACCATAGGTAGAGAAGTTTGAGAATCCCTGCTTTCAAGGCTGTAAGGATAACTATAGGTAAGAAACTCTACTTTTCACATTTTCTCCTAAATTGTGCTTTTAAACTAAGAACATAAATAGGATCTTTATCAAGGACTTGTCAAATCATTTGTTTTAAGTTAAATCCTGAATGCTCAGGAAATGATCAAGAATATAAAAGTAACTTTTTTATTATGGCTGCACAACTTGTCCCTTTATCCTCAATAGAAGAAGCGACAGGCATTTATTAGTATTCCTGTTAAAACCCCTACAGTTATGCTGTATCAGCCACTCTGGCTGTGTGCTAAACTCCCCATTTTATGCAGGATACTTAACATCATCTCAGCATGTGTACCACATGAAGAATATAGCAACTTTTGTCATACTTCCAAATACAAGAAATAAAAACCCATAAGAAATCTCTTTTAAAATGGAATAAGTTACCTTCATTAAATAATGACCTGGTCATTTGGGTTTTAAAAATCCTCAAATGCTATGCTGATACCTCCGTATGTATCTAGAGGTGGTATTAAGAATTCATGTAAGACTTGTGAAACATCGTACTGGCTCTTCTGTGCAGAACGTATGTTTTAAAAATATAAGTACACAAGAAAGGGCAGGATAATATACACATACTTTCTCTAGCTCAATGACTAAAGGTCACGTAATGCGTTTGAAAAAGTAACTCAGAAGACTGTAACAGGTAAAAGTCCTATTAAACAAGCATTCAGCCTTGATGGAAATAGTTTTCGAGTTACGTGTTTTTGTAAAACTGTTTTAAAAAGTCAAATCACCTGAGCACATGAGAAAGTGAATACACTTAAAAAAATACCCTAATATTTGGACACATGTGGCAAGCTCACGTCAAGAGTACTGAACTGTAACTACAGTATATTTACCTGTATGCCAAAATATAACACTGGATTCAAATCTACTTTAAAATCTGTTATTTCAATTAAAGACAGGCTTCAATTATGTAACATCAGATACACATATAAAATATAAAGACAGTTTACCTACAAAGTAATTTGAACCAACTAACTTTTTTCCCCAAGGGACAGGAAGAACACTTTCTGGACCTACGACATGATTTGGTTTTGAAATATCAAAGCACCATTTGTTTCCAACTGATGCAGTTAAACCTCTCCAGCTTTGATGACCACTGGCACTTAATATCAATCTAACAGTCATCAGGGAAGTCAAAACTATCATGCTTTTAACAAAAAATCGCTCATATACTTTAATCCTTTCAACTGCACCTACAACACCAAGTATTACCGACTTTTAAAACCCACTCTCCTGAAAATAAATAAATAAATAAAATAATTGTGGAGCATCAGAAACGAGATAGTATTCTCAAATTTCAGTGATCTAGTCAATGGAGCCTTCCCCCAAGTACTGTGCTCTGTTTCATGCAGTACATGGCTTTAGCTGGCCAAATCTTTTTTTTCCCCACTGAATCAGTAGAACAGTGAAGATCTTACTTTTTTTTCTTTTTCTTTTTTTTTTTTTTTTTAAGCAGTGGCATATCAATGAGGCACAGATGTGTATTCCAACTCTGCATGGATGAGCACACTGTTCAATAGTGCTGGCTCACACGGTATCAGGGCAAGTTATCACTTCCCATGAAGGCACTCTTATCACCAGGGCCCAGAGAGGTGGCTGCAAATCGCAGCCTTTTTATTTTCAAGGCAGTTTTGCTGAACATTCAGGCTTCAAAGATTCACACTTCCAAAACTCTATAAGAGTTTGTGAACGCTCAATTTGCCAAAACTGTTTACAGTGTAATTGGGCACCGTACCTGTGTCCATGAGATAGCGAAGGCGCTTCTCCACCAGCGCGGCACGGGTGTCAATTTGCTTTTGCTCATTCTCTAGTGCTGCCAATTCTCCTACAACATACTGACTGGTGTCTTTGAACCCTTTCTGTTAAAGAGAACAAACAAGAAGAAAAAACATCACTTGTAAGTTGCATTTTTCCTTTCCACAAACACTTAGTAAGGCACTTACCTAAACAACCAAATATCATGCTTGCTACCAAAAAGCTAACACTTATATTTCATAAACTTTACAATTTTGCCAAATGTCATTTTTTATTCAAACACTCTTTTTTTTTTTTTTCTCCTTCTTCAGGGAATATTTGATTTTGCAGTTTTTTACTAACCAGCTGGCTTTTTGAAATTCCTCTAATTTATTTCTAAGTACATAAAAGCTGCTATAACAAAGCATAGTGAAAGGAAAAGTAATCCAAATAAAGCACTATTTAACGTGCCATTTGTACTCCATTCAGGTCTTATTCTATTTTAAAAGGCTAACACTAAGGGCTAGAACTACTAACATGAGACTCCCCAATGACAATTAAAAAGTGGGCTCATGAGTTTAAAATCAAACCTGAAACAAGGTCCCTGGCTTGTTTAGCTCCTCTGGGTCAACTGCTCAGGCTCACCAGCCGGGGCTATCACGTCTCTCTGGGTTTTCCTGACTGCAGGCAATTGCCCCGCTACGCAGCTATCTGTAAAAATACCCTAATTACTCTAACTGATTCTTGTCCTGAGAAGTGATGACAAACGGGCACCGGGCAGACGCTGAGGTGCACAAGGTCTAACTTGAGCTGTCCTGCCTCTGTGCCAGGGAGGCAGCCCTGGGATGGCAAGTTGGTAAATCATACTGACCCTTACCAAACAAACTGCGGAAACACTAACGAGTCAAATTTGTCTCTTGTACCCTGGAACTTTTCAGCATTGCCCTGCAGATGACCACACAAATCTCCAAATATTTCCAAAGGGGTTTGGCTGTCTCACTAGGAGCCCAAGAACAGTCATGTAATATCTCCAAGTTATCCTCGTGTGGCTCAACAACTTTCACACACTGTTTGGCGGTACCAAGTTATTATGGGCTGAAATGTCATTCCTGAAGCACGTGTTTACATAAGCTGGAAATAAAATATTACTTCTTCAGAATAACCCTATCCACGTCTTCCTCCCTTCTCCTATACCTGTCCCAGAGCTTTGGAGAATGGTTTAAAGTTGGGGGGGCAGGGGAAAAAAAGCCCTGGCAAAATTATGCCATGTTTCACCTGCACTCTGTAAAGGATGCAACTAAAATCACTGTCCTTTGGAACAGCTGAACACTCCCCCTTTTTTTTTCCACCGAGGCTTGTTTCCCTACTGGAGGCTAACTTGTTGCTGCGCAAGGGTCTCAGATACTTTCACCACGTTTTCCGTTGTTTTACTGTAAATGTGCCTGAAACCATCAATTCAGATTCATATTCAGGCAACAGGTATAATAATCACACCAGCATATTATTTCAAATAAAGAAATATTTAAAGTGAAGGCTAACAGCGTGGCTGAGCTCCCAGGACCAATGATGAGCACAGAACTTTGAAATTTGGGGTATCTGAATCTAAGCACCTTATGACACCATTAAGTTGGTCCTTCTCTCCTACCAACAGTATCAGCTCTAATGGAAACCCCTTTTCTACCTGTCATATAGCCAGAAAAACAGCAACAACGAAACTCCCCAAGAGCAGTCCGAGAAGGGAGAAAAAACCCCAAACCCATCAGTCTGGGGAGTTGAGGTGATGTGCAATATACTGTTTTTGATCAACTACAATTAATTGAAAATAGTATGAAAACTTCCCTAATGTCAGCATGCATAATTGTTAACAACTGTTATTAGAAGATGAAAAGAAAAGCTGTGTCACGCTGAAATATCCCAAGAGTTCACGTGTATCATCTGCATATATAATGTGAACTTACTGTGCCAAACCTTTTCAGCTTTGCAAAAGTACAACTGGGCTAAAAATAACTCTGCCTCATAAAAAGTTCAGTGTTTTGGTGTAGATACGACAGTGGAACGAAATCACTACTCAGCTCGAGATTGCTCCAGCAAAAACGACGAGTGTGTTTAGATAAATTGTGGAGAGCAACAAACAACCACCATCAAAGGCTGCGTTGTGTTCTCAGACAAAAAAAAAAAAAATCAGGTTAAAACTTGTTCTTCCTACTTCTGTCCCGCAGCTGTCCATCAAAACCAGCTTTCTCCCTGCGGTCTATCAAATATTTCCCTCACAAATCAATTTTACACATGATCAGCCCATACCCCTACTGAGCTGAACCTCCCCGTTAATTAAGTGAAGAAATTACCATATATATTATATTAATGCAAACATCATTCAGCTAGTAATTCACGGCTGATCTGGATAATGGAAAGGTTGAACACCCATTAACCCAAGCCAACAAAATGGGTTGGCTGAGAAATTCTAGCAGGTCTCATGTGACTCTTCCCTCTAACTGCAGCTCTGCGGTATCTGCTATTGTAATAATTAAAATCCTCCCGGTAGATCAATACTGGAATCTCTTTATGGGAAGTGCCCTGATGGAAATGTCTCAAGGAAGCTGGGGCTGTGGAACTCTGAAAAATTCATTTTTTTTTATCTGACAATTATCACCACACTGCAGACTAATTCAACAGTGCACCCCTCTCACTCTGCTTTGAATGCACTGGAGATTGACATCTAAAAAAACCTAACATCTCATTTTAACAAATAAAGGCACTATTTCCACATACAGTTTGGAATTATCAGCAATCATGAAACCAGACAAAAAATTAATATACATTAAGCACTTCATCTTCTGATGGCTTCCTCTGAGTCTCAGTTATCGCAGCCTTCTCCTCATTTCCTCTCTTTGTATCTTCCTGTATTGATCTCTGCCTTTTCATCTCTTGAAAAAAGGGGAAAGACATGTAAAATTATTATAAAGCTTGATATTTATGTATTGAAATGTGGACTTACATTATCAGGTTTTCATATATTTATTGTTAAATATTATTAAATCATAAGATGGGAAAACAGGTTTTATATTTTCTCCTACCTGGTCTGCTCTCCACATATTGACTGAAAGACTGTAGCTGAGTTTTTCTGACAGTAGAGTCCTTGCTGAACACAACGGGATTTCTAAACCGTTCCGCTGCTTTTTGTAATCGCTCAGCACGATGTTCCTCTGTTCCATTCTGCTAGGAAAAAAACAGACACACAACACTTTCTTTTGTTTACAAACGGGAAGACACGAATTGGAAAGGTACGTTTCGGCCAGGGGACAGGAGTCAGCTTTTGCCAAGAGGCTTTCACAACTCAGGCTGCGGAGGAAAGTATCGGCTGCGGAAAAAAAGCAGAAGAGTGATTAACTTTTCCTTTATATATATATATATACGTTTTTTTAATGCGTGGTAGCAACAACTGGCTTTTTGCTCTGTGGGTACCCTCCTGCAGGATTCTCCACTTACTCAACAGCCGGACCTATTAACTGTGACTGGTATCAGCCAGCAATTCTGATCTTAAAACAAAACAACAAAAAAATCACTCCTCTGCAACTTTGATTTGCCAAGCGCTGCACATGCTGCTGCCAAGTAGCAACGTCTCTACCCCTGAACACGATCTGTATCGTTTTAAAAGCATGTTGCCTTTAGTCTGTCTCCCTGCCCGGTAAAGAAATCTGTCGTTTTCTGTAGTCCCACAGACTTGTATGACAAGAAGAACTAGTTTCTAATTTTATGCCCATTGAGATAAACCACTAATGCTGGATGAAGGCTAAAAGGTAGGATTATAATACTACCCCACTGAACTGCATTTCATCAGCTATAACTTTCCAAAGCCAGATTTGTAAGTAAGCCCTTTACAGCTAAGGAAACTACAATTATCTTTTCCAGGGCTTCCTATGTTAATACTGGTAACAAATTCAAATGGTTCTATCAACACGAAATATCCCAGAAGACTGAACCACCGCAGTGTGTGGAAGCTGCAGATACCGAGGTGCTGTGTACCAAACAAATATTTCATTTTATACCTAATCTTTTATTATTTTTATTAAGTGTTTTGAAAGTAAATAGGGAAAGGCTAAGATGCATGACTAATAGCTAAGCCTGCTGAATGCTGAAACTGGTTATCAAAAGCTACCAAGACTTTGCCCTTCCTCTGCATTGAGACAATCGGTAATGAGGGAGTTCTCCAATGGCCTATTCTCTAGCCTCAAGGAGGCCGGGGATACACAATCCCCAAGGGAAGGTAACAGTTTATCCTTTTCCACAAACACAGAATGCCTCATTTAGAAACGTGTAAACTGCATTTTATTAAAAAACAAATCCACCTCAATGCCGAGAGCTCCATGAGAACAGATGGACACCATATATTCCCTATAATGCTGATTTCCAACTCTTCTTTAGAAAGGCATACACAGAGATAAACTGTTAAGTTGCACCTTTTGAGGGAGTACCTTAAAAAAAAAAAATCAACTCCTCCACAGAAGCTTTATTATAAGGAGAAACACCGTTTTTGTCAGGTTAGGTGATTCCAAATCACCCTAAGAGGCAGCCCGTGTGCCATGTGTCAAATTAATTTTTAAAAAGTATAGCTCGTACCCCCTGGATGACTTTTCAGATGCACTAATCGAATGGTTATGATGCTGGTTAAATAAAAGGCTGTTTGCTGTTATTGGTACCATAATCATCTGGCAGCCCAAACCAGAGTCTTTACCAAAATAAACAAACATGACTAATTTTTTAGGCCTGGCAACATGCTAAAATATCAGCGTGATTAGTCAGTAAATCCCATTTTAAGAAACCTTTTTATGACTGGGGACTTCTGCCACTTTACAAATGTATTCCTCTAAGCCCACTAATTCAGTTAGCCTTTTCAATCCATTGTATTATTCTTGGGGCAGCTTCATTTTGCATTAAATCCACTGCAGAAAGCTAAATTGAACGCAAAAATCAGACTTGATCCAGGCTTCCTTTTGTTCAAAGATAGAGACCGAAAGTCCTCTGCTGCTGCCACACACTTTCATCACCAATTTATAGGAACCGACAGTGTAAGGGAAAAGCAATGAAAGTCATTGTTTTGGGACTTCAAAGCATCTCTGTATCTGGGGAAGGAAATCCTTTCAGTCAGCAGTGCTTTCCCCCAGTCTGCAGGTGGGTGAAAAGTTATACCCAACTGGAAGTGCCCCAGAGCCATAGGGATATTAATGACATAACAGGGAGTATTAAAAAAAAAACCCAACAAACCCCAACCCAAAAAAAAAAAAAGAACACAAGGGGTCTAATTAAGAAAAATAAATGGAAAATTGTTTGGTGTGCACTTCATGCTGAAGTGGTGAACGTTAGGAATAGGCAAAACGACCGCATATACTGCAGACTTGTGTCTATTTCTCTCAGAAGCACTTTTTGTCACGCCACCAAGTATCTACGCCTTTGAAGTGTGCCACAGCTCAATTTTAAGGGAGAAAAAACAGAGGGTCAGGCTTGGGAGAGAAGCAAATCACAGAGCCCAATCCTGCTCCTGTTAAAGTCAGGGAGAGTCTCGCTGCTGATTGTATCAGCAGCAGGAGGGAGCCCATGCTGTATTTCTGATTTAAGTGACAACCTGAGCAGTAAGAACGGAGAAATGCTTCGTATATCGCTCGCTGTTGTGCCAATGACAAGCATCAAGATCAAAAAAAAGGGAAGAAAAACCCAGTGCCTTGCAAACTATGCAGCTGCACTGCCATTCAGATTTTCTGCATTTTTTACTGTGAAGGGTTTGATAAGAAATCATTTTCCTCCTCGTGAAGTAGAAACACAAAATCAGGACACACAGCTACTGAGACAAAAGCATTAATCAAAACTTACCTTAATGTCTTGCTCCGAGCTATCAGTTACAGCTTTCTGAGCAGCACTGGAGAGTGAATTTGCCACCTGTGGCTGAGCTTCTAGGAGCTTCTTCAGCTTCAAATCCACCAACTTACTGTTTTGTTCTGCTAAATATGCAAATACCACATACAACAGAGTGAGATGCATTTAAATGCAGAGTCGCTACAACAATGTGGCAATTTAAAAGGTAGATTTTATTCACTTTGCTATCAAACTAAAAAAGTGAAAACTAGGAGGAAATTCTTTTGTCTTTCAATTCAGATTGGTGTTCATTTGTGTAATGTACATAGATGATGGCTGGGTTCTCTCAAAACAACATATATAGCACTCAGCTGAACAAGTAGACGTGCTTGAAGACAGTAGATGAAAAAAGACAGAAAGCAGACAACACTCACTGTAAGTTCCTCCCAACCTGTACGTACCTATACTTTGGTGTAAAAACACACTTAGAGAGTTATTTATTTTAAGATGACATGTAACTATTTATCATATATTCTCAGTACTGATAACCCCTCAAGTTTATGAACTACTAATTTATCCTAAGGCTCCTTGGCACAGCTCCTCAACATTAAAATTTCAGTATCAAAAGAGCTTTCTAGTAATATTTTATGATGATTTATAGAATACGTCGAAGCCGGGAGAGCCGTAAAAGGCTTCGTAACTGCACTGAAGGGACAGATTCAAAGTCTGCCAGAGCCCCAAATCTTTTTTCATCAGTTTGAGCGATTTGGATCACAGCCCAAAGAAGTAATAGTCAAGAATTTTACCTCCCAATAACGCTCATTCTGTATGTGACCACTGACTACATGAACCTGTAAACACAGCCACACACAGAGTTACCTACATATACACACATAGTAAGGATAAAGGTGTTAATAGCAAAAGGCAGCGCAGTTCTGCGGAGCTAACCCTGGGTAGGAAGGCAGAATAATGCTAGCATAGAAGCCCCCAGACGTACTCCATGTGCAGCACCACCCGAAAAATCACCCCTGAAATGGAGCAAATGCAGCATCGTATCAGAGAAACAACAGAGTTGTTGGGTCCAACAGAGTAAATAGCAGTTGCTGTGTTTTTCTATAGGCATAGCCTGAGTTTTGCACTGCGGGCTGGTAACTTCTAGCTGGTGTGGGAAGTGGAGCAACGACTGTTTTGCCGCAGAGCTCCTTCCAAGGTTTGGAGTGCTCCGATTCATCTTAGCCAAAGTATTTTTGGCATGATGGCAATCAAATGATGCCTGCCTCCAGAAGCAATGGTCCGGGGTGGGTTATGATGCAGGAGAGTTTCCCTTTCCTCTGGCACACCCAGTCAAGGTGCCCTTAATTGAGGCTCACATGTAAGTACATGCATTCTCATGGGTTTATATATAAACACCATGTAATAACTATGATAGAAGAGGTTCACATTTTATCAGATATATTCACAGCAGCTTATGATAGCAGTACTGAGAAATCAGACAGATGCAATATTTAAACCAACAACTGGCTGTAAAAATAATAAAAAAAAAGGTTTCTCTTCCTGAGAGAGACGGGGGGGACTAGGATTCAGCAGGGGACAAATTAATTAAGATGGTCATAAGGATCCCAAACATGAAACGATCCTTACTGTTTTGCACTTAGATGCTTCCAGGAGATTCAGCCTTTGTTAGAACCTGGTATGACTGAGCAGAATCCCACCAAAATCTGTGTACACTGATGTCTATCAGAGCATTAGACTGCTTTCTCTGTTACTGCCCATCCCCTTCCTTACTGGTTTGTCCCTCTGGCTACTGCGCAGATTGAACTGCAAAATGATGACCCAGGTTTTGTCCAGAATGTCCTCCCATGGTGAAGATGAAGTGCTGGCTAGTGGTTTTATATCTCTGAGAAGGTATTTCTCAAGAAAAAAGGCCCACAGAAATAAATGTTGGTAAGTCACTGGGGCTATGTGACATGAATATTCATTTACTGATTTTCTATTTCTCCTAAAATAAACCAGTATCTATTGGAAAATTGTTTCACACGGCTCTGCTCTAAATCAGCTTAATTCAAAAGGTAGAAACAGTAAGTATATTTTCTTACGTGTTTGGAAATCCTCAAATCAAAAATAGAAAGGACATGACTCAAATCTTTCACATTCAAAAAAGACTAGAAAGTGCTACATACACATCATCATTGCTTTAATTTACAAAAAGCAAACACTAAATGAAGTCTTTTGATTTAGTATATTATGGGCTACAAACTTGGGTCCAGTTGGCATGGGCAGAACCAAGTCAGAGGTTGCTGTCAGAAGTTTTTTCTTGTACTGCCTTTATCCCGATGCTATCCTGTGCTTGTCACACTTCTCCGGGCTCAAGCTTACTTGCAGGGAGGAGAAACGCGCTGGCAGAGAAGCACACCGTACTACAAAGAGGCTGTCAGCAATGCCCAGAGCTGCTGAGAATAGGCAGACTTTGTACAGAAAACAAACTCCTTCAGCAACTCTCTGTGAGCAGAGGAGCCCCTTACTGATGGACAGTGACCTTCGCCTCTGAAGATCTAATGTCTTTTTAAATAAGCATCTCCTTTGTAAGATGCTGACATATTTACAATCTAGGGAGGAAGCTGACTTGCGGTTTTGCTCAAATACAATTTTTGAAAGGGGAAATACCACTACTATGATTTATTATATTAAGAGAAGGCTCTGGGGAGACCTTATAGCACCTTCCAGCACCTGAAGGGGCTACAAGGAGGCTGTGGGGGACTTTTTACAAGGGCCTGTAGTGACAGGACAAGGGGTAACGGGGTTAAATTGAAAGTGGGGAGGTTTAGATTGGATATCAGGAAGAAGTTCTTCACGGAGAGGGGGGTGAGGTGCTGGCACAGGTTGCCCAGAGAAGCTGTGGATGCCCCATCCCTGGAAGTGTCCAAGGCCAGGCTGGATGAGGCTTGGAGCAACCTGGTCTAGTGGAGGGTGTCCCTGCCCATGGCAGGGGGGTTGGAACTGGATGGTCTTTAAGGCCCCTTCCAACCCAAACCAGTCTGTGATTCTGTGATTATTATGTGACCAGCATGTGCCAAGATTTCTACAAGAATATGAATGCTTTTAAAATGTGTTATTGAAAATCTATTACTTGAACCTTGTAAAGTAAATAGGACTAATTCTGTTGAAATTTATACCTCCATGTCCCCACTGGAGCAACAAGGTATAAATACAAGAGCTGGTCCTCAGGAAGGAACTGGAGGGATACGAAGCCTACGTGGAAAGAGAGACATGTTTGCTCCTCTTCACTAAGCATGTGGACCAGGATGTCGGTGCAGACAGTGGCAGCTCTACTCACCAAAGCAATTGCTCACTCCTCTTGCCTGCCTACATTGCTCTCCTGGGACAATCCAGGTAGGGTGATTTCAGGTGGCTCTGTTTTACAAATCTGGCCTGGGGTCTCCTTCCTCATCAAACGGCAAAAGACATTTAAATCTGCCATTGTTGGAAATAATGAGTTTATTGCAGATTTAAAATCTCAATTAAACATGAATGCAGAATACTCAGAAAAAATAAGCACTAGGGTTTAAAAGACCTGAAAAGGCACACAGGAATAAAGCTACGACAGAGAGAAGCAGCATATCAGTACTTACACGACGATGGAGTGTTAGTCATGCAAAATACACAAAATAGCCATTATTGAAATTACCCGTTGAATCAAAGTCATTTTCTAGGTTAGTAAGCTCATCTCCACCTCCAGTAACGGAGCATTCGGGAACCTCCTCGTTAGTATCTATCTTAATATTATCATCCTCATCCTCATCTGTAGGAACATACAGCATTAAGGTTAGTATTTTCTTATGTACATGCACCACATCACTAAAAAAAAAAGAAAATAAAAGAATGCTTTAGAGAACAAGCTGAGTTATGATAAATATGCAAATCATTAGATAAGTCTGGAATGAGATTTCACTCTGTCCACTCATGGATTTATCTTTCAACTGGTGCAATTCAATGTACACACAGGGGGCTCTGCTGGAAACTCCCGCTACAACAAAGGTAGAGAGAGCTTGGACTCAGCCGTGGCTGTTCTCTGAGCTGAATCTCTGGCTAACTCTGAAAAGCGCACGTGCTTTCCCTTAAAACCCAAGTAAAAAAAATTTCCCCTAGGAAATAATTTCCCCAGTTCTCTATAATGCAGAATGGGTGCCAAAGATGGCATAAAGCAAGGTCTGGCCAGCAGAAGGACCTGGGAGCTGTGGTCACTTGAGAAAGGCAGCAGCTCTGGATCCTACGTCCCCATCTTGGTGCGTCTCGCTGCTCCTGACTTTGCACAATGTGTCCCAGAGCAGTGATCGCTGCACCTTGCTTAGGTGTTAGAGTCTCTTACCACTTCTGACACAAGGAGGAAAACCACCACGGGAAATCACGCTTAGCAAGCGCTGACCTCAGGTGTAGCAAGAGTACACTCACAGACGGCTGCCTTAGTTCCCCACTTTGAATCAGCATTGTTTGTAAGCGACATATATTTTAAATAAAACAATAAATGTAATTATGCTTTACATTTTTATGGGATCTATCTACCAAGTTTCTCAGAGCAGCTTATGAATATCACTTGTAAATGAGCCCCATAATGTTTTATGAAGTAGACGTTTATTAGAGTTACAATCATGATGACGTAGGTAAATTATGGCACCGAAAGAGTAAGTAACCTGAGGAAGATCAAATAGCAAGTGCTGAATTGTGATGCAGATGCAGAAAAAAATCCTGAGTCACATTTTCAATACAAATATACAATGAAACTAAAGTCCATAAAAGCTAGATGGGTACTTTCAAAGCATGTAGTTGCACTGTATTTACTCACTTTTAAGTCCCATATCAAATGCTATCTACACTTGTTCAGACTTATACAAACATTTTTATCCTCTGCGTGTGTGTGTGTGTAAAAAGAACTAAAAGGACAAGGTTTGGAGAGTGTCTGGAGAAAGAAGACATGCATAGTAACTAAGGGAACTTTAAAGTCCTTCACAACAGGAAAAAAAATACAACTACAGGGCATTGGTACGTTCAAATGCCATATAAACAAAAGGGATCCTAAACATACTACCAAGTTGCCATAATCCTGAATACCAGAAGTTTGGATCAGGACTGGTGCTGATCACTCATCATCTGCTGTCTTAGAAATACCCCAAACCTCATCCCCTGACCCAGGCACTTCAGGCCCACGCTGCTGACACTGAGGACATACAGTTGTTTCTTTTCTTTACCTGTTTATCTCCACAGTCCCTATGATGCCCGTTTTAGGTGCCTGTTGACTTTTTTGTATGTCTGCTACTCTTTTCTAACCAGTTGCTCCCTTAATTCCTCTGTAATTCATCGATGTCTTTCACAGACCCCTGCTGACTCAGGGTAAGGCTTTTGCTGCAAGACAGGAGCAAGAAAGTCCCTGTCTCAGTGTCCTATTCAGCATCTATTGTGTGTATGATGCAGCAGCAGTTTGTGAAGTAGAACCCCACTGTTTCAGCTGACCACCAGAACTCCCCTGGGTCACTCTCCACTAATTCTCAACGGTCCCCAGAAGAACTGGCTTTCTTCCAAACTGCCCCAGCCAAACCAGGATCTGCGACCAGACCTGGGGCCTGACAGATCATCAGGTGTACAAGTGGGTGGGCAGAACACTCTGCAACATCCTTTCTGGATGGTTTTGTGATCTGGACGCTAGTTGTTTCAGGTAGCACAGAGGTAGGCGAAGGGTACAGTGTGATCATCATGAAGTAGAGAAAGGGATGGGGCAAAGGGCAAGCTGGAGAGAAAACAGAGAATGGTGAAGCAGCAACAGCAACAAGTTTTGAATTTTCTTCAATGTGTCTCTACTTTTTCTAACAAGGAGCTAGACTTTTCACAGGATTTTAAATCCCTCATGATGGTATCGGAGAAATTCAGTTGCACTCAGGCCACGGTAGTCTCAAACACATCCTGGAGCTCACAGCGGCACGCTGAAAGCACGACTGGGCTAACAGCAGCAAAGGGCCACGGACATTTGGAAGAGGTGGAAGACAGAGAAAGAGGGACACTGCCCCGGCAGAGGGAAACCAAAGCCATCTCCAGCCTAGAGGCAGGCAACGACTTTCCAAAGCACCCAGAGAAGTCAGCTCGCAAGGTCAGCCCACAGCTACCAGTCATCCAGGAGATGTATCAAAACAATCTGAACAAGATGACAAGATTTAAGACTGCTGCATACTAAGGGAATGCTTATATTAGATTATTTGATTTTCTTTAATTTAATATAGTGAGATGAGATCAGAGGCACTGTCTTTGACACCACCATTTGAGGCAACAAAAGAGATGGGAATGTCGAAGACACCAGTTCCTAGTGTCAGATAATAACCTGACCTAGTATTTAAATTTAAATTTGGCAGGCTTTGACTGAACATGATGATCTGGACATTTACCCTTTATTTAAAAAAAAAAAATCACAATTAAAAGTATTTATTTGAAGTAATTTTAGAAATTTTCAAATGTCTTTCAAAATCTACAGATTACTTGTTTTAAACCACTCTAGGTTTGGTGGGGTTTTTTTTTGTTTTGTTTTGTTTTGTTTTTTTTTCTGGACCAATGTTCTACTTTCTAGTCTATTAAAAGGAAAATGTGTTTAGGGAGCATGTTACAACAAGATTTTGCAATTATAAATGATAAAAGGAACAACATGACAAAGAGATAACAGATAACTTTTATGAAAAGAACAAATTACTAGTGTGAAAAGCTTAAAGCGCTTGGTCTAGAACCAGGGCAAGTATTTGGAAGAGTACTGAGTAACTGCTTCCTTGAAAAGAATGTAAATGTGGATCCTAGAAAGACAGCAAAACTTTACTGTGTTGTGAAGAAATGAACAAAATCGAAGATAAAGAATTAAGTCAACAACTAAACAGCACTGACCATTACCTACACAGCCTGGGCTGCAGTCTGGACCGAAGAGAATAAGAATCTTTTGGAAGCAAATGGAAATGCCAGAATATTGATGGAAAAAAGATCCAGAGACATTTTATAGCTCATACGTCTTACTAGTCAGATTAAGCTCAGGCTTATTTTTGGTTAAACTGATATTATCGACTTGGTTTAAGCTTGTCCACGTGTGAAGGAGTTGCAGCAGACTGCATCAATTTCTAGACGAATTTAAAAAGAAGCAATTTTCATAGAGAGGTAAAAACACTGATGGGGGTTGGATCACGTCACTGGGAGAAGCATATGTAAGCTGCCACTGGTGCTGCATGAACAGCACTTGTTCTTTAGGGAAGATACCTCCAGGGTTGTCTCTGGGAAATCCTTCAAGCTTGTGGATATTCAGATATTTAGTTTATTTACTTTCAGGTACAGAGTTCACTTCAAGGCTACAGGATGTGACAGGAGCATCTGAACACTAATAAAGGAAGCAAAGACAGGGAATGGAAAAAATGCAGAGTTGAAATACTGGTTCAGCGTACAACAAATCCGATGTCAGGACAAGAAAGTACAGCAGTAACTGCCAACAAACTCTGCATGTTAACGATATTAAACGGAGGAGTTACCACTGTTTTATGAGTTGGAGACTAAGCATGATGTGTAAGCCTGAGCTACCATGTACATCCCCTTCAAATCATTGCCTCAGAAGTACCATCTGCAATGTACCCTGAAAACCTCAATGTACCCTGAAAACCTCAATGTACCCTGAAAATCTTAAGCATACAAGTTCAATATAATGCCAGTTGGCTTTCTTTGGCAAATTTTTTTAACTGCAGTACACCTTTCCAGCTTTTGTCATTAATTCCAAAACTTTGAAAACTTTTTTTTTTTGTTGTATTACAATACTTTTGGATGCTGCTTCACCTGTTATTTCCTTCACTGCTCTTCTAGCATCTCTTTTCTGTGCTGTTCTTCTGTTTATTTATTCTCTTCTGCCCTCCCATTTTTGTCTATTTTGGGCATTTTTTTCACCAAAGCCTCTTCACACTGTGCTTGTTTTACCCTCTGTCCTCTCCATGGTTCCCTCCCTCTGCCCCCTACTCACCACCTCCAGATCTGAGCCACATCCTCACAAAGACATGGTCTCAAATAAAGGATGGAGATGTGCCAGAGAGTAAAGAACACACACACTACCCAAATCCCAAAACAGCAGACGGGTGTCCCACTGCACTGGGACAATGCCTAGGTAAGATGTCAATTCCTTTGTCCCGCCGCTGCTGGGAAAGGGAGGATATTTGGATCCCTATCTTGACACAGTCCCTGGACCCATCTCAAGGTATCTGCTTATCAGTCTGAAGCTAGTAGGACATCTAACAAATTTGAAGCTGCCATCCCAAACCTCCTGGCAGTTGGCAGGAAGAAGTATTTTCTGTCCCAGATACAAAACAACCCATGAAAAAGACTGGATTTCATAGAAAGCTTCAACTTGCCCCAGGCATTTGAGTTTTTCAGACAATGATTAAATAAAGCCTTTTAACAGAGAATGTAGCACCAGTGCACGAAACTCTTCATCAGCACACAGAAACACTGAAAGAGATCACATTAGTGAGAAAGAAGTTAGTTTTTAAAAACTTTAAAATACCAGAGCTGAAATGTCACTTTTTTCTGGAATAACTGAACTGAGAGAGAAGGAAATTATTTGGTACATTCCTCTTTTGGAAATGTAGCAATCAATGCAGGAGATTAATGGATAAGAGAGCTTGAAAGACATATTACTATAAGCTTGTCTTGGGTATTGTACAGGGAATGCAGGACTAGATACAGAAAAAACCACTACTAGGTGTGAATGCAGTCAGGGGCAGTATTCAGAATCCAGCTGTAATAAGGAGATTGTCTATTAAATCCTGTTTTCTGGTGGAAATCAAAAAATAAAAAGACTAAACCCAGAACTATTACTAATTTATGAAGATTTATGAAGTGTTGGTGCCATTTTACAGAATTACTCCATTTTAGAAGAACAAATTTTCTGAGTGGAGATCTAGTGTGGCACTTGACACCACCAGCAGTGTGGTGGAAGTATGTGTAAGATGTGCCACAAGGAAAGCTTTTTGAGAATGAGTAAGTCGCAGGAAGTGCTATGAAATGCCTATTGACATGAAAAGAGCAGAGAGGAATAAAAGGAGACAGGGAATGAAAACTGGAAGTCCAAGATGAGTTCAAATAGCTTGGCCAAACTACCGTATGAATGAAGAAAAATCAAGGTAGGAAATATAAACCAAGGAGATAAAGCACATACAAAAGTAGAAAGCAGTGAAATTGTTATATTGGATAAAACCCAACAGATATAGTGGTGATAACTTTATAAACAAGTTGTCATCAGTACCGATACTGTCTCCTCCGCTAATAACACTGAAACTCTGAGTGCGTATGTAATCTATATACAGAAACCTTTTCGGTTCTGTTAACATATATGCACAGTTCCCTCTGAGACTGTTAATAAACTGAACGAAGGGCAGGAAGAAAGGGGAAAATATGAACAGGGAAGGCCACGTCCCAGAAAGCAGTATACTGGGGTATTTAGCAACACTACAGGTAAGTCACGGTGACAAAACAAGGTAACTACTATCTAGCTGAGCACTGTGGATATACACAAAAGGTGTACCTTTCTTGGAGGCGAGAGATGGCAGGAACAGTCATGTATAGGCACAATAAAACAGTGAGGAGGAAGAAATTAAATAACTTAGGCTGGGGAGTCAAAAATTATGAAGAAGGATGAACAACACCAGAGTCTACTTAATACACAAGTACTGTGCCATCTTGCTCAGCTTGCTCCTTGTCCATCAAGGATGGACTTTCCCTATCTACCACCAGAAGATTTACGTTGGCAGTCTTGGTTTTTCTGGGGAAAAAGAGGAAAACTGAAGACTACACCTAAAGGATCCCAGTACAACTAACTCTCTTTGGTGTTAAATGGAACAGAAGTGTAGGGTTTAGGGTGCAATACGACTATCTTTAAATATATATGCATATAAAATACATGTGGTAGAGAAGAAAAAAAACCCGTTGTTGTTGAATCTACATGAATTATGAATGCAAAGCTGGATTTTCCTGGCATTTGGCTCACAGTTGTGTTAGTATGAGAAACACAATTTCCCCTTAGAGTATGTAGAAGACACTAAAAACGCAAGAAGCCTGTACTGAAACGTGTGCTCAGCACCCATTTGAGTTTGAGTGACACTACATTACCCCAGCTCATAGAACTGGCAGGTGTATGAATTTTAATGACATTTCAAAGTCAGTTTAATAACATTATAGCAATATTAAAGCTCAAAACCTGTAAAGGTATGTCAAAAGACTGCCATTTAAAATCAAAAGGTTGTTGCCCCCACCTCCCATGGGCCGACTTTAAAATTCTCTTCCTGAGCAGTGTTTTGAACACATTTAATACAAAATAAAGTATCTTAAGTATTTCTAATGCTGTTTTCCCCCCAAATTATGCCCACGCTCCTATAAAAAATACACATCGCAAAGATTTTAACCAACAATCATAAAATTCTAAAACACCCCGGGTAATGACAAATCTGTAAATAATGGCCCAATACGAGCTACTTGCTCACATCACATCTTTTTCTTTCAATCACATATATGCTGCTCTTTTAAGTGCTGGAAATTAAGTGACACAACGCTGATTTAGGGAACTTATCAACAGCCAGGTCTTTTGATACAGGCACCTGATGAACAACAGCGTTTTGAAGTGTGAATAAAAGTGATACCCAAAAAGGTCTCTGGTTTCTAGGTTGCCATAGGAATAAGATACAAGGTTCCCCAGCTCACCTCCAGATGCCTTTGACCTTTCTTTCAACTTTTCTGCAGCCATTTCACTGTAGCTAGGAAGTTCTGACATCTTCACTCCAGATCGAGCTTCTGCTATTAGCTGACGAGCTCTCTCTCTCAGCTGCCGACGCCGCTCTTCATCTTGCTGCTAAGATATATTGAACAGTTGCCAAGTCAGTAATTGACAGAAATGCAATTTCATTCTCAATCTGATCATCATGATAGTAACTGGTTTACAGCATGGTGCTTGGCCCACATTATAAATAGGATGCTCGGTATCAGTTGGGTGTCACACCACAGTTTTTAAAAGACATGAATGCTTTTTTTAAAGCATTCCCCAAATTATTAATGCATCAGAAGCCTCATTATTTTCAATTTAAAGCATGTATAAATTATAATCCATCAAAACACCTTTATGAAAATCCTCAGTGTAACAACTACAGAAAGTTTTACCGTGGCTATAAAAATGTTTTTACTAAATTGAATTACTTGTTTGAGTAATATTGTCTCATAGAACCGAAACGCGAAGCCAGATGCTGCTTTTGGTTACTCCCATCACCAAGCTGACTTCAAAGTGCAAAGTGACATTGAATCTGAGGCATGGAAAGGAATCTGATCCTTCAATGGATACACCTTTTTTTAAGAAATATAAACTAATGAAAATTAATAAAGAACAATAGGTGCCAAGGCAGAAAAGACTTTGCATGGCTTTAAACCAGCCTATTAGTGGGGCTTCGGTCAGTCATATAAGAGATCATATTGGAACCACCCCAGATAGCGCTGTCCCACTAAAGCTCGTAACTATCTCAGAAGCATGACAATATTTCAGTTACATAAATGAGCAAAGTCCTACATCACAATATTTTGGAAAAGACTATTCCACCATACTTCAAACAAATAAACAAACAAAAAACAACAACAAAAACAAACCAAAAGATGTATTTAAACATACCTATAAGAATCCACAAGGGAATTCAATCATAAGGCAAATAATTTTAGTTCTCACCTTAAAAATACAATTTTTTCAAAGTTAGGACTGTTTTCCCCCTCCCCTCAATATCAGAAATGCTCCTAAGTGCAACAAAGCCAGTGTTTGGCTTTAAAGTCAAACCTGCCAATAAATCTGTATTATTGACATGATGACCAGGATAAACCCAAGTATAGGCAGCTGACCTGAACTAAGTGGAATATAACAAAGTGCCTGATTTTGGAGAGACCTCCTGGCAGCCTTCCCACCAGCCCAGAAACTGAGCATCCAACACCTGCAGATGCTGGTGAGCTAAATGCTATTTAGCTTAAGCAATCATTAATAAAACAAGCGAAAAATACTAATTAGGTACATTTTATCCATTTCCATGTAAATTGTTTGTTTGTAGCTATTTACTCAGCATTGTTCTCAGCACAATAGAAAAAATGCAAATGACTGAATCAGAATGCAGCCCTAATGGGACTTTTCTGTTTATAACCATTAGCCCAGAGGTGTGCTGTAATTCAATCCTCAAGCAGCAAGATTTAGCCTCATTAACAGCTTGCATGGGCAGGTTACAACTCATAAAACCCTACAGTAAACAAAGTATATGGACACAGCACAGTATCTTGTCTCTGAGTGACAGAACCCTGATTCCCCTATCAGATTGCCTCGATTTGCTTTTCTCCTAATGTCCTTTCCCTGGAAAGACAATTCTGCCTGGGCCCTGCAAGGCAGCGGGATGGCTGTGTTTGCTTTCTCACCCTTTAACTTCCCAGAAGGCACAGACCCAGCGGTTCTATCAAAAAACTTATTTGGCGAAGCACACGTTAGAAAGACAACTGGAAAGCTTCCCCCTCCCTGCTCCTACCGCACTACGACGGATCAATTTAATGTAGTTTCTAGCCAGCCAACTGACACATCTACTGATTTTATTTTGACCTGTGGTATTTGGTAACGTTAATTACACTGAATTTTACATGAAATAAAACGGCTCAAATATTTTCTGCTTGCAATTCCGGGGATATAGGAACTTGTGGTTTTGACTTAAATGACTTTTTAGAAGGAATGCGCAAAATTTATATTAAGATCCACACATGGTTTAACGTCAAACAATTTAATCTACCATAGCACGTGCAGCGTTTAATAAAGCCAGTTAGGTGTTTGCGACAAAAATGTCCCGAATCGAGCAGGCCGCTCCGCTCCTCTCCTTTTCTCCCTCCTCCCAAAAGAGAACTTGTATCCTGAATTATGAGCATAGTCATTAACGTCCCGGGAATCTCGAAGCAAACACGGATCACTGTGGCTTGTGTTTGTGCTGATTAAGCCAATCATCACCAGCCGATGAGAGAAAAGCCAGCCTGGTCCTTGCTTAAATTCAATTCAGGTATTTGAAACTCTCGCAGAGGAAGGGCTGGTGGAAGGAGCAATGAAAACGAGAGCAGAAAAAGTGGGCAGATTAAGTTTGGAGGTGCAGAACAATTATTACAGAGCAAAGCAATCCCCTAGATTTTGGAAAGGAAAGCGCTCAGGAGGAGTACAGAGGCATGAACGTAGGTACTGAAAAAGGAGAGGCGAAGATAAGCTCTGCACCACGAAAGGACCGTGCAAACACACACACACAGATTTTTTTCCCTGCACAGTCGAAAACAGTAAAATCTTTCACCCTCTGGCACGAACCTGACGTGCCAAAGAGACATTAAAGTTCTTTTCTGTTATTTTCCCCCAGTCACTTGCAATGGTCTAAAGATCCGCCATGCAGATGCACAGTGAGGAAAAACTCCACCGTTTAAGGACAAACTCTTCAGGAATAAGTAATGTAATTCCTTGTTTCCCTCCTATAAAAATGTATTGGTATGCAATTTTTATATTTCACAGTTCACCGACATCTCTGCAAGCTTTCTTCCACTGCTTCAATGGTGCTACTTTTAATTTTATCCTCCTTAGTCCTAGTAATTAAAGTGATCAGCAGTGGCATCCCAACGGCTTTGACACAGCTACAACCCCCTAGCAGACTTCGGCTTTTAAGGGGAAGGGTAAGAAAAAAAAGGCCGGGAGTTTCATTTCACTGGAACAAGAAAATCAGGCTTCTCCAATCCTCAACTTTATCCAATTGTTCTTTCAGCAGCCTTTGGATCTTAAGAAACAAATAAAAATGGCTGCCATTAGGGGGTCGTTTTTGTACTCGCCGCAGACGGCAATGACTGACATTACTTTGGCTAAAAATGATGCCGTGGATTTGGGAAGGTGAATTCAAATGTGAAACGCTGGCAGGGCAGTTTGGGAGATCATTACCTAGGCAGCGTTGTTGCTGGGCAGCGGCAGAAGCTGAGAGCTGACCGACTCCGTAAAATATTAAGAGCAGCGGAGTCTTGTAGGGGAAAAAAAAAAATCCCCCAACCACTCCCATCTCCTTAAATCGCTAAAAATTCTGCAAGCTTCTCATATTTAAAAAAAAAAAAAAAGCCACAACCATAAAAAAACCCCAAAACAAAACAAAAAAACCCCAACCGAAACGAAATAAAACCCCAAACAACCACTGCTAGGGATATTCAGTCTTCCTTTGGCAGAATTTTGGGAGGATCCAAACTGAGTTTACACCAGAAATCTGATGACATATTATCCTATTCCTATTAAAAACCCCATAATCCCCGTGAGCTGCATTCATTTGATGTTTAAACAGGAAATTCTTTACCCAGTCCATAGACTGGGGATGGGAGGGGTGTGTGTGTGTGGAAATGGTAAATTAGGGATACTCCACAGCAACAAAATTAAGCCCGTACCTATGAGGGGGAGTGATTCTCGTAGCTGTAGGATTCAGTATTGTCTGGGGTCTGCCCTGCGTACACGGTACACCTAACAGAAAAAAACTTGACTGCCACCTCTTTCATCATTAGACAGGAAGAACGGCTCTGTTATTAGCCATTCAGAAAGAAAAAGACTTGTGTGCTTGTCCAGAGGCAAGGATTACCAAAATGTACCTATTCAGTTAGCAGAGAAGAGAGAATAAAAAAATAATAATAAAAAAAAATTACATGAGCTTTAAAGGTTTGGGCAGGCTGGATTTTACTGTGACCTTGATCAGCTCTTGTTTTAGTAAATAGGATTTGGGATGAAACATTAAAACTGTTTAGCAGATCTTTTCAAACCATTTCAAACTTTTCTTACGTTGGTTTATAATATAACCAGACATGCTTGTAAATGGCCACACCTGCTCATTTCTCTGGGGATGGCGTGATCTCTGCCTTTGCTAACAAAGAAAGGACAGGAGAAAAAAAAAAAATCAGCCTTTCTTGTTGCAAAACAGAGTGGAAAGTCAAAATCTTTCTCAAGTTTGTCCCATCTGGTCAGATTAAATCTTTGATCACCCTGGGGACCACATTTGTGTTTAGTCTCTACTACCGCTTCAGAAACAGCTCAAAATACACAGGTAGTGAGAAAAATATGAATTGCTGAGTGGGGAACACTTGACAAACAAAAGTGCATCGCCTTTGGATTTCCATGGCTAGTCAGATCATAGGAAGTGATCAGCAAAGAAAGACATAAACATCTCCCATATTTTCGGCCTCCTGCCTGGTGTCGACATCAGTGACCTTACTGCCAACAAACTGTTTGGAGCTTGGAAATATTTTTTCATGAATATATATCAGAAAAAGTATCAAATCACTTGTCACAAAGAAGCAGCTATTGGCTTACAATCTATGGCACTGATGGACTAATGAGACCAGACAGAATAAGAACAGAAGTAGCCCAACGTCCAAAACCGGAAGAATCGCAAATGATATCTTAACAAATATCTATTTCCTTTAAGAAAAAAAAAGCCCCCCAAATTCACAATAAAGTGGGGTTGTGCATTTGTAAAGTGGAAAACAGCTCCTTAAATCTAGGAGGTATTTTTAAAGATATGTTAGCCAGCAATTTTTTAATTCTATTTCTTTTTCTTAATACAATCTATGTTGTTCCGGAAAACCCACAATTCACTCAGTACAGTGTTTCTGGTGTGAAGAATGTTGGCTGTAGAAAAACAATCCATTGATAGTTTAATTCCTCGTGTCATTGTGAAAATTCAGAAACTCTTAGTTTACTGAATGAAAAAAAACAAAATTGAAGAAGGAATGGCTGACTAAGTAAGTATCACCTTGTGCTACATCCAAGGCCTCTTGCTGGTTGTCTGGCTGCTC